TTTTCTGAGCCTTCATTTCCTTACTTTAAAATTGAGACCTCCTGGAGCATTAGGAGCTGACGAATTTAAAAAATATCGGTGTGTCCTACTATAAACTGTAGAGTGCTGAGCTTTCATTGTGAGGTATTATCTTTCATTGCTGTAGTTGAGACTGGTTGCTGGGGCAGTTGAAGAGGGAGTTAAAGAAATGGAATCACTGTACAACTAGGAATCCCTTGGGACCTGGCCGAGTTGCAGCCCCAGAGCAGTCCCCAGGCCTGGAAGTAGGGCGGCAGAGCCCCCAGCCTGCACCTTGGTCCCTGATGACCTGGTACTCTGGTGGGCCTCAGAGACCCCTCTTCCCAGAACTCCCTTCTGACTTCCCAGGCCAGGGGAGTGTTGTGAGAAGTGGGATCTGGAGTATCTGGTCACCCTGGCAACTGACAGTGACCTGGGGCAGCCTTGCCTGCTCCACTGTGCCAGTCCAAGCAGATGAGGATGATCTGAGAGATGTAGATAAAACATTTTCCTGGTGAAGGGCAGAGCAGCTGCAGAGGTGTCAGGAGCCCCTGCCAACCCAGGTTTGGCGATGTGTCTGCCAGTATGCCCGTGTGTGTGTGTGTGTGTGTGTGTGTGTTTTCAAACTACCACCTACATTTCCTGCCCAGCCTCTTCTCTTCAACGGGAGGCCAGCCTTGAACTTGACTAAGGGTTTGTCCCAGGGCTGGGTGATGCTGAATTCCACACCTTCTCACCTCCTTGCTCTGGGAGAACAGAATGTCTGGAAGGAGGCCATGTGGCTTTGATGGATCACTGGACTTGCAACGTCAAGCTCTCATGGTGGAACTGGTCGTGTGACAACGGACAGGTCACTGACTCTCTTCGAGTCTCCATTTCTCTATCCACGTAATGGAGAATTAAATGAGGTCCGTTCCAGCTCTCATGTCTCTGGATCTGATTCTAACTGCCTCTGCCCAGTCCCGATTCCATCCTGGTGATGTCACCATTGTCATGAGTTTGAGTGTTAGAGAAGTTTTGCCTCATTTCTTGGCCTCCTGGGATCTTGCCTCAATACTGGGCCTTTGTCAGGCTATAGGGACCCCAGCCATTCTCTGTTGCCCCTTCACCATACCTGGAGTCAGCACGCTTCCTGTGCTTTGAGGAGACTTTTCAGGCGTGCAGAGTGGGAACATTGGTGGAATCAGGGCCTTGGGAGAAAGCAAGCTAGAACAGGCCCCCATGCGCTCCTCACTTCTCAGAGCCTGAAGGAGCCTCCTCCTCCTGACGGGATCCACTCTCCCCCAGCCCTGTTAGGCTTTCCAGTAATGTGCCGCCCATCACGGGCCAGGAGCCAAGAGTGGATCCAGACTTCCCCCGCCGCCTGGCCCTGGCCCTGCCCCTGCCCCTGCCCTAGGCCCAGAGCACTGATGAGGGCCCAGAGCTCCTGCTGGTCACTGGGAGGCAGGACCAAACAGAAGACTGAGGAGGCTGCTCCAGGAACAGGGCTCCAGCCCCAGTTCCCTGGGAACCGGCTTACGCAGAAGAAAGTGCTCTGTCTCCTGGTCGGGAGGTCTGGGAGCCAGTCCTGGGTGGCCTAGCAGGGAATGTCCTGCCTCCTCTCAGAGCTCCAGCTCCTCATCTGTCCTGTGGGAATGCCAGCTGTCTATTTACCTGGGTTGGCAGTCCCATGGCCTGGAAAAGCATGGCGATCCCCATGAGCTTCCTATGAGGTGCAGAGCCTGAGGAGCCACTGCACTGTCCCAAGTGCCCAGCCCCGCCCAGTTCAGAAAGAATACTGGTGCTTCAGCAGAGGGCTAATTAGCGTCCAGCTCCAGGGCTGAGATACCAAAAGTGGGGTGGTGCTCCTCCCGCAGACGTCGGGAAGCCACACTACCTCACGGAGCCCACTTCGTCCTCTGCAAAATGGGGACAGTACCTACTCCACAAGGCTGTTGTGAGAGCCAAGTGGGATGGCACTTGCCAAGCTCCCGGCACAGCGCTGGGTTGTAGGACACCTCCAGGAACATGAGCATCCCTGTGTTTCTGCTCTTGGCTTCGTTTACATGCCTTCTCGGCCCCAGGCCAGAGCTGTGGGCTTCCAGCTCACTCTCTGGTATTTCCTAGGCCAGGAAAGCTCTGTGGATTGGACCTATGGATGGCCCAGGGGGTGAGAGGCATTTTCTGAGCTTTCTTTGCTAGGCGGAGTTAGAAGCTGTCATCTGCCTGTCCTGGGCTGTCTCTTTAGACTCTGTCTCCTCCTGAGGCAGCTGTAGGTTCCCCTTCTAGGGCTAAGCCTGGGAGACTTGAGGAGGGTCAGCTGGCTGGAGCAGGACTTCTGGCCTGGGAAAGCTGGTCTCTGGCCTGTGCCTGCAGGAACTACTGCCCTAAGCCCCATATCAGTCAGCTTTCTGTCATTATAATGAAATACCTGAGATAATCAACTTATAAAGAGAAAATGTTTGTTTTGACTCACGGTTTTGGAGGTTTTAGTCCATGATTGATTGGCCCTTGCTTTAGGCCTGTGACATCATGGCAGGAACACATGGCAGAGAAAAACCACTTCGATCACCAGCCAGGGAATAGAAAACAAGGAGAGGACTGGGGGTTCCACAGTCCCCTTTGGGGCACACCCCCATGACCTAGGCTTCCTCTGGGCCCTACCTCTTAAAGATTTCTCCACCTCTCAATAGTGCCACCCTTTAAAACATGGGCCTTTAAGGGACATTTAAGATCCAACTGTAGCAACCCCCAGGCCTTTCTGTCTCCCCTTGAGGGCAGCACATGTTGTGGGTAGGGTGCCATGGTCCTCCACTACTTCTGCTGGGGCTCTCTGGCTTCAGTAGGTGCTGGGGTGAGAGGAACCTGGGTGAATTGCATTGAAAGTTATGAGAGAAGAAAGTGCCAGGGAAAGACTCTTGCCCTGACCTGGGCAGCCAGGGTGGTCAGAGAACGCTTTCTGGCAGAGAAGTCACCAGCACATGGTGCCAGCCACACAGGAGGGGTGGAGGTGCAGGAAAGGTGTCTAGAGAGAGGAAATAAACTCGGCAGAGGTCTGCAGGCAAGAGAATGTGGCTATTCGGGCTAATGACAAGGACTTCAGCGAGGCTGAAACGGAAGGTTGACTGTGGGGAGAAGGAAGGGGACCCAGGGCAAGATGGGTCGGCAGAGGCAGTGCTGAACATTTGGGCTTTACCCTGTACAGCAAGACAGACTGGGACCAGCGTGACCTAGCCCTCCCCTGTGTATCAGCTGGCTGAACTCTGGGTGTTATCAGTGGACTTTAAAGACTGGGGGACTTTCAACACCAAAGATGACTTTTGATTAGGTCTGTTTTGAAATGAAGAAAATGCACAAGGTAGTTTTGAGGTCCCCTCCCAACCTAGGATGGAGACATATCTTTTCCCAGCACATTCTGAGTGTCTCCTGGGAACTTGGCACCATGCTGGGGTGCTGGGCCTGGGTAGTGTTTTCAGTTGAGCCTTGACTTGTGGCTGTGTTAGCATTACCTGCTCAGTGACTGAGAGGAGCAGGGACTTCAATTCCCCCTCCTTCCCAAGGAACTCAGGGCAGTGAGAACAGAGGCCTGGCTAGACAGGTTCTCTGGAATCATGTGGGTATGTCTCAGCCCTCTGCATTTTCAAATCAGCAGATATTTGTTCAACATCTACTGTGTCCTCAGTCCTGGGCAAATAATAATGAGCAGATAGGAAATCTGCCTGCTCAGAGGTTCCTGGTTATGAAGGGGAGGGAGTGAGCTTTCTCCTTGAGCACAGGAGGGTCATACCCTCAGTTGACCAAGCGGGCCCTGGGGGTTAGAGGACCCTACATGCAGATGGATGCCCAGGTCTTCTTCACCCACCACCCTACCCCAAAACAAAACAGTCAAATAAAACCAAATAACTCAGGGAATTTGAAGCTCTGGACAAACCTGGCATTGAGACAGGCCCTTTCTGGTGGGGATTTTTACTACCTCTGAGATCTGGGTTTGGACCCCAAGATGGACCACAAAAAAGTAACATGTGCTGCTAGGACCAGCTTGGGGGAATGGTTGGTGGGTCCCGGGCAAAGGGACATATGGAGTCTTCATGGGACAGAAGGCTAGGAGAACTTGAATTTCAGAAATATAGTTTGATGGGAGCCTGGGGGTCAGACCTGGATTCCCTCTTGGTTCCGCTACTTATTTGCCCTGTGACTTTGAGCAAATCCCTTCTTCTTTCTGAGCATCAGCTTTCCCATCTTTAGAATGGGTAGGATTGGGCTTTAGAATAGTGACTCAGATTAATCTCACAAGCTGAAACTAACCGATCCCTGCTGACTTCTTGGAGCCTGTCTCCAGCTGCCACCTGGCCTTCGAAGGAGAGCATGCCTGCCTCCTGCAAGGCTGGGATCGGAGCTCACTGCATGTGCTCTGTGGGTTTGCAGACCCCAGGCTGCAATGTCCCTGAGTTCCTTCCTGCACCGAAGTTCTTTGATTCTTCTGTGCTTTTTTTCTGTCTCCTATGTGCCACTTCACCCTCTATTGTTTGCCTTTGGCTTAAATATCTCCATGACAGAGAACTCGCCGCCTTCCCTCAGACAGAATTGTTAGATTGCTATTCTTTGTGTGAAGCTCATGTCTGTCTGCCTCTCCGTCTGGAAAGATGCCATGGGTTCAGAAGGAGTTTATGGCCTTAGATACAGGGCACCTTAGTAATCAATTTATTGTTACTGCCTTCTGGAGGCATGCAGAATTTCTGCTTTTTAATATTATACGACAGTGACAGAGAAAGCTTGGGAATATCCTCTGAGAAAAGCACTTTGAAAACATGGTCACTGCTTTTATACTGCAACCCTGTGAAGCTGGTATTGTCCCTTCCATCCTACAGGCCAGGAAGCCGAGGCTCAGAGTTAACAGAGCGGCCTTCTGAGACCAAGCCTGAGCACCTCTCGCCAGCTGCCCTCCTGGTCCCCAGCCCTGTCCCCAACCTTCTGTTCTGGCTCCCCCGAAAGCCCACGGCCTCCCGTTCTCTCGCCCCCCGCAGGTTTCCATGTGATCCCCACCATCTCCAGCATCGTCCCAGAGAGCTGCCTGCTGATCGTGGTGGGGCTGCTGGTGGGGGGCCTGATCAAGGGCGTGGGCGAGAAGCCCCCCTTCCTGCAGTCAGACGTCTTCTTCCTCTTCCTGCTGCCGCCCATCATCCTGGACGCGGGCTACTTCCTGCCGCTGCGGCAGTTCACAGAGAACCTGGGCACCATCCTGATCTTCGCCGTGGTGGGCACGCTGTGGAACGCCTTCTTCCTGGGCGGCCTCATGTACGCCGTGTGCCTGGTGGGCGGCGAGCAGATCAACAACATCGGCCTCCTCGACACCCTGCTCTTTGGCAGCATCATCTCGGCCGTGGACCCAGTGGCCGTGCTGGCCGTCTTCGAGGAGATCCACATCAATGAGCTGCTGCACATCCTTGTCTTCGGGGAGTCCCTGCTCAATGACGCCGTCACTGTGGTGAGGGGGCCAGGGGCGCTGCACACAGGGCACAGGCCCCAATCCAGGTCCAGGAGCCTGTCCCTCTCCCGCCCACTAAAACCAATGCTAAAAACAGCCAAGTCACTTGGTGCTTGCTGTGCACCAAGCGCCATGCTGAGCACTTTGACAGGGATCCTCTCATTTCATCCTCAGGACAACCTGAGGAGAGCTGAACCGTTCTCATTTTACAGAGGAAGAAACAGCCTCAAAGAAGTTAAATAGCTTGCTAGAATGTCATAGAACCAGTTTGTGCTTGAACCAGGTCTGTCTCACTCCAGATTTCTTGCTTTATGAGGTCAACGTGCTCCCTCCTTATAGTTTGATGTGATCTTGGCTAAAGTGCTTGTCTTCCTTGTGCCTCAGGTTCCTCTTTACGGCCCATTTCATCTCCAAGGGGCCTTTCAGCTCTTACATAGGCTACTTAAGTTAGAATTTGTTATGTGCAGAGTTTTGGGGTAGAGATTGTGGAAAAGGGTCAAACCTGCAGAAGATGATAAGTGAAATGGATTAGCCTCTTGCTTGCTATGTGTCCTTAAGCAAGTGACACTACCTCTCTGGACCTCACCTTAGATAGAAGAAAATTGATTTTCTCCCAGGGTCTAGTGAGGACAGGCACCCAACTCAGGAACTTCACACACACTCCCAGCCAGTTTCCTCACACCCCAGGAAACAGGAATGTGTGTGCACACATTCATGATCCCCTCCTAAGCTGGACCCCTCAAAGAGGAACTGCTCATATAGGAAAACACACACACACTCCCTGTGCCCCCAGCCTCTCAGGAAGCAACACCGCAGATGGTGATAATAGAGGTCCAAGTGCTGCCTGTCTAGATGTATACTGCCTCTTCTGATCTGCACAGTAACTCCATGAGATTGGCACTATTATTATCCCAGTTTTTCTAGATGAAGAACCAGGCACTGAGAGGTCACATTCACTGATAAGTGATGCAGCCAGGGCTCATGTCTGCACAGTCTAGAGCAGAGCCCAAGCATGGAACTCTGCCCCTCTGCCTTTCTGTGTGCCACTGACAGCAAGGAGGACCTTGCCCTCTATGTCTCGCCCCTTTGTTCCAGGTGGTAGACCATGAGGACCCTAGTCCCTGTAGCCCTGTAGTCCCTACAGGCCAGGAGTGAGCTGAGGTAGCCCAGGGCTAGGGTGCACCTACCGACAAGCCTATCTGCTGCTGGTGCCCACCCTGTCTCCCAGACAGCTGTGGTCCAAGCAGCAAGAGACCTGGCCAGTACCCAACATCTGCCCTTCTTTCTCTGGGCATGAGTGTGTGTGTCCTGTTTCCCAGACAATAAGGCTGCTCCTGAGCTGCCTGGCATCAGATCTGTGCCCTTGTGCAGGTCACTCCCCATGTCCCACATCTCCTGCCTCCAGACACTGCGCAGGTGCTGAGAGCTTTGGAGAGTTCCCTCTCATGGATTCTCAGGCCCTGTACCCCTTCCCACCAGGCCTGTAAACTCTCTGGCTGGTTCCTGGCAGCGCCATCTAGAACTGATAGAACCGGGCTCATGTGGGCCTGGGAGCCTCTGTGCCAGCCCCTAGGAAAGTGAAACTTCAAAGCTGAACCTCCTGGGGAGGCATCAGCCTACAGCCATCAGGGAAGGAGTCCTGGGCCCAGTCCTGCAGCTCCTGGGCTGGGGCCCTCTGGCCTGTTGTTTCACCTCTGAGCCTCAAGTTTCATTCCTTGGCATGCCTCCTCAGAAGTTGTTGAGTATCCTCTAGGATAAAGACTGTTCAAAGGACTTTACAGTGTATGAAGTGCCATTTACACATCCAACAATAGTGTTAGAGGCCATCTATTTCCCTGATGCCTTAGAGAACCTCCAATTCCACAGCATCTGAACCCGGGGAGCTTGTTAATAGAGATTTCTCAGTCTTGCCCAGAGTGTCCAAATCAGGTATGGCCTGGCCAGGTATCTATTCAGAGCTTGAGAAATCTATTCTGAGCCAGCACAGTGGCACATGCCTGTCATTTCAGCGACTCAGAAGGCTGAAGCCAGAATGATCATCAGTTTGAGGCCAGCCTCAGAAACTTAGCAAGATCCTGTCTCAATATAAAAAGGATATAATTGAGTATAAAGTACCCTTGGGTTCAATCCCCACTGCCGAAAAGAAAAGAAATCCTGTTCCCTGCTTTGCCCTAAAAGGGACACTGAAATCCAGAGAGAAGTGAGATTTGTGCAAGGTCAAACAGTGAGGGAGAAGGCATAACCAGACCAGTGGCCACTAACACTGCCTGTGAACTGGCACTTCTCAGCACTTAACCTTTACTAACTCACTAAATCCTCATGGCCTCCCATTTCAAGCTCATTTTATAGATGGGAAACTAAAGCTCAGGGAGATGGAGGGCTGGGCCTGTGCACACAGCAAGGGAACAGCAGGGCCGTTTGATTGGCTCTGGCTCAGAACCAGCGTGACATGCTGTGGGCCCCTCTGGCCCCTAGTCATGGTTGGCACTAGGGTTTCTCTGCTACCATGTGGCTTCTTGTGGCCATGGTCCACTCAAGGGATGGAATCACCCCGGGTGGACCCCCAGGGAGCCGTGGACCCACCCTGCTCTCCTGCCCACCAGCCTGCACGTCCTCCCCAGGTCCTGTATCACCTCTTTGAGGAGTTTGCCAACTATGACCACGTGGGCATTGTGGACATCGTCCTCGGCTTCCTGAGCTTCTTCGTGGTGGCCCTGGGCGGGGTGTTTGTAGGCGTGGTCTACGGGGTCATCGCAGCCTTCACCTCCCGATTCACCTCCCACATCCGGGTCATCGAGCCGCTCTTCGTCTTCCTCTACAGCTATATGGCCTACCTGTCAGCCGAGCTCTTCCACCTGTCGGGGATCATGGCGTGAGTCTGGGCACAGCAGGCTGTGAGCTTGATAGGCAAAGTCACCAGTGTGCAGGGTCATGAGGGAGCCCCCCAGGACTCGGCCTCCAGCCTCCAGGCATGAGACACAAGCTCCAGGCTCCAGGACTGCTTGGTAGCCATTTAAATGACCAAGGTCATCAGAGGCTTCCTAGAAGAAGAGCACTTCTGTGGGCTCTGTGGGATTCAGGAAGCTGGAGAGGGCATTCCTGACTGGAAGTAGATGAGGCAGGAGCAGCCTGTGTTCCAGTTAACCCAGGGTTCAGGAGCGCAGACCTGGGCTGCCCTCAGGAGCACTGAGCCCAAACTCCTGGAATGTCTCAGCCCTCCGCTTCCTCCCTGTGTCTTCAAAGGGAGTCCCATAGTTGGAGCTGGACACAGGCTCTCATGCACCCCTCCCCTCAGTGGCCCCAGTCAGGGGCTTCCCAGGCCTGAGTGGTGGAGGTCCGGATGCCTCCATGTTGAAGGAGGGAACGAGCTGTGGAGAGGCAGTGAGGAGCACAGGGGCTCCCTGGGAGAAAAACAGAAGTAGCTCCGTGGTGCCCGTCTGGAGTCCCAACAACTCAGGAGCCTGAGGCAGGAGGAGCACAAGTTCCAGACCAACCTCAGCAACTTTGTGAGACACTAAGAATTTAGCGTGACCTTGTCTCCAAACAAAAATAGGGTTGGGGATGCAGATCCGTGGTTAAGTGACCCTGGGTTCAAGCCCTGGTATAAAAAGAAAAAAGGAAATGCAGAGGCCTAGTTGAACAGGGAGATTCAGGGTGGTAGGGAGGAGGCCTGGGCAGCAGGAGCAGAGCCCACTGTGGTTGCTGGGCTTGGAGGACTCAGGTTACTGCCTAGAACAAAGCTCCCTGTGGGGACCCATTGAGAGGAGGGGGACAGGTCACGCACGGTTGGGAGTTAACCCAAGATACCATGGAGTGTGTTGGTGACTCTCCTTGGGCAGAAGCAGCGTGGCCTTGGGGAGAAGGTGCAGGCTTTGGAGTTGGACAGACCCTAGTGTGCATCTCAGCCCTGCTGCTTGCCACAGCGTGACCGAGGGCAGGAGAGTCATATCCCTCACCTGAAAACTGCAAGAGTGTACCCAGCCCTGAGGGTTCATGCGGGGATTGAGTGTGAACAGTCGTGCAAGGCCTGGCCCTGACAGTTGCTGAGTAAACAGGCACCTGTTCGTCCTGGTGCCCTAGGCCACAGAGGGTGCTGAGAAGGTGCGGCTCACCCCTGAACCCCACTCTCCCCCCACCCTAGACTCATCGCCTCTGGAGTGGTGATGCGCCCCTATGTGGAGGCCAACATCTCCCACAAGTCCCACACCACCATTAAGTACTTCCTGAAGATGTGGAGCAGCGTCAGCGAGACCCTCATCTTCATCTTCCTCGGCGTCTCCACTGTGGCCGGCTCCCACCACTGGAACTGGACCTTCGTCATCAGCACCCTGCTCTTCTGCCTCATCGCCCGGGTGCTGGGTGAGGGATGGGCCCAGGCCACGGGAGGAAGGAGTGTGTGTGTGTGTGTGGTGTATCGTGTGGAGGGGCCAGGCCCTGGGGTTCAGTGGGGGGAGAGTGTGTGTGTGTGTGTGTGTGTGTGTGTGTTCATAGGGACTGGGCTGTGGGGGGTGTTGTGTGAAGGAGCTGGGCTGTGGGGGGTGTTGTGTGAAGGAGCTGGGCTGTGGTTTATGGGGTGTGTGTGTTATTTTTATGTGTATGTGTGTCAGTAGGGACTGGGCTGTGGTGGTGAGATGCAGAGTGTGAGGGTGTGTGTGTGTGTGTGTGTGTGTGTGTGTGTGTTGGAGGGGCTCCGGGTGGCTCCTGGATTTTCCCATTCCTTTTCTTCAATGTCAGTGCCACAATGGGCCCAGGCTCACAGTGAGTGAATGACTCCTGGAAATAGAGTCAGAGTGAGGGGTCTTTGAGACTCTGACTCTGAACCTTTAGGTTTTCTAAGGAGGATCTGAGGCCCTCAGACCCAGGTCTGTGACTCTGGGCCAAGTGTTGGGTTGTCACAGCATGAATGTCATAAGAACTTACAGGGCTGTCTGCTGCTCCCCAGCCTTGCGCTGCCAGACCCAAGTCACCTGTGGGGACCAGGCCTTGAGTTCTTGGGTTCCACTCCCATGGGCCAAATGTGCCTTACCTCTGTGGCTAGGCCCTCTCTGGACCTCACTTACCTCCCTTGAAATAAGGGCTGGGGCTGTGTGCCTGAGCCTGGCTGGGTGTTGCATTGACTTGGGTTCTGTTTTAAATCCCTATTGTTCCTGATCTTCATTCTCCAGGAATTCTAGTTCTATGGACTGAGGTTAGACCCCGTCTGCATTTTAAAATAATACTTTATTGTGGTCAAATACATAGAAAAGTAGGGAGAATCGGATAATGATTCCCACTGTGCCCTTCATACTTAACAAGTATCAACTTGTGATGAGCCTTGTTTCATCTTTTCCCTCTCCCTCTCCTGACCTCCAGCCACTGGAGGCCTCTGTGTTGTCTCTAAACCACACCCGCTGGAAACTCCCTGAAGGATCCAGCTCTTGGATTGAGGGATTTGGAGTGGCCTGGGCTGAGGGACCCAGGAAATGAGTGGGCTGGGTGGCTTAGTGGTAGAGGCTTCCTGGGTAAGCACTGAAGTCCCTGGTGCAGGGCCAGGGGGTGCTGGGGACACCCTGACCCCTCTCCCCTTCCCTGGCAGGCGTGCTGGGCCTGACCTGGTTCATCAACAAATTCCGCATCGTGAAGCTGACCCCCAAGGACCAGTTCATCATTGCCTATGGGGGCCTGCGAGGGGCCATTGCCTTCTCCCTGGGTTACCTCCTGGACAAGAAGCACTTCCCCATGTGTGACCTGTTCCTCACTGCCATCATCACCGTCATCTTCTTCACCGTCTTTGTGCAGGTGCTGAGCAGGCCCAGGCTTGGGGACCCTGACTTTCCTCTGGGAAGAGGAAAGTGTGTTACTCAACATGGGGCCACGGGTTCCAGTCCAGGCTTCAACATTAACTTGCCGTGTGGCCTTGGGCAAGCCACTGCCCCTTTTGGGCCTTAGTTTCCTCAGTTGCAAGGTGAAAACTGTGACACTGAGTCATTGAGAAGTGACTAATCAGAATGTAAGGTGTACAGAGAGCTGCCTCCTGCACTGAGGGACTTGACGGGGTGGGGGTCAAGTCAGCAGGCCCAGGTCGGATTCTACCCCCAGCCCATCGCCAGCCTTCAGCAAGTTAGCATCTTGGAATCTTGGTTTCTGCAGCTATAAAGTGGGAAAAGCAGCATAGCACAGGCAACTGGAGGAAGCCTGGATTCAACTCTGGTTCTGCTGCTGTGGGACCCTGGGAAAGACCTTCCCATCTTTGTCTTGTTTCCCCACTTGTGACGTGAAGGGTCTAGGCTAGATGTTCCCCAAGAATCCTTCCATTGTGCTGGTTAGGGTTTCTTTCCTTCTTTCCTTTCTTCTTTTCTTTTTTTTCTTTTTTTTTTTTTTTTTTTTTTTGTACTGGGCTCTTTTTATTATTTATTCAGAGACAGGTTCTCACTAAGTTGCTTAGGGTCAAAATTACTGAGTCTGGTTTGAACTTGCAATCCTCCTGTCTCAGCCTGCAGAGCTGCTGGGATTACAGGTGGGCCCCACTGTGCCCAACCTGTTAGGGGTTTCTGTATACTTCAGTGACAGTCCCCAGGAAGCCCAGCCTGGGATAGTGCATATTGCTTCATAACTCTTGAGTGGCCTTGGGCAGGTGAGATGCTGTCTGGGCCTCCATTTCTTTCCCATCCCTCCTGTCTTTCCTGGGCACTGATCTTTGAAGTGCTAGATGGGACACATCTCTGTCTTCTCAAGAGAAAAAATTACAGGGGAAACCAGGGGCTGGGTATATTTTCTCTCCTTTAAAAAGCAAGAGGGGCTGGGTGTGGTGTTACATGTCTATAACCCCAGTTACTTGGGAGGCTGAGGCAGGAGGATCCTAGGTGCCAGGCCAGTCTGGGTAACTTAACAAGAACCTGCCTCAAAATAAAAAGGGGTGGGATGTAACTCAGAGGTAGAGCATTTGCCTGTCCCAGAGTTCAAACTCCAGCACCAAACACACACACACACACACACACACACACAGAGGCAAGGGGGTTGCCTCTTTTGTGCTCTTACCCTGCTTCTATCACTAAAGTATTGTTTCACCTTGACTTTGTAGTTGTACATGCTAATGGTGTTCCAAGCCCATTTTCACTGAAGGCCACATTGGGGTGAAGACCCTTCTTGGAGCCATCCTGCTGGAGTTGTTATTTTGTTTTTTAGATCTTTTCTTAGTTGTAGATGGACGCAATCTCTCTCCTCTCTCTCTCTCCTCTCTCCCCGAACCCAGTGCTTCACACGTGCTAGGCAAGCGCTTTGCCATGAGCCACAGTCCCAGCCCCCTGCTGAGTTTGTCTTGCCTATATTACTTCAGTAGGACCTTGGGAAGTTGCTTATTCTCTTTTGAGCCTCAGTTTCTTTATTTGTAAAATGGAGGCAGGGAAAGGATTGTTGTCCCCTTAGGCTATTATAGGTATCAAAGGGCTAATGCTTAGGAGACATAGTCACCAGGCAAGTGTGCAATGCAGATAGCCACTGCTAGTATCTCTAGGTCCTCCCAGTAGCCTGTGAGGGTGGCAGAGCACAGCCAGTTCCCTCTGTCTGCCATCCCTCACTCCTTGGTTGCAGAGCAAGTCTGGTGGAGCCCACATTTGAACCCAGGCCCCAGCTAGATGACCAGTCATTTGGCTGTGGGCTGCCAGACCTCTGACTGTGTCTCCTGGAAGCAGCAGGCCTCAAGCACCCGCCTTTATCTAAGTGCTGGGGTGGAGGTGGGGAGTCCTAACACCCTAGGTCCCGGGAGACTGAGGACCTACCTCAGAGCAGAGGCATCCTTATCTCAGGGAGGCTGGGGGAGGTGGGATGCTCCACAGCCCCCTGCCAGGATAGCAGAACTGGAGTGTGTGATACCCACCTGCCTCCCTAGGGCATGACCATTCGGCCCCTGGTAGACCTGTTGGCTGTGAAGAAAAAGCAAGAAACGAAGCGCTCCATTAATGAAGAGATTCACACACAGGTACCAGAAGCTGGGGCTGGACTCTGGGTTGCAGGAGGAAGCTCAAGGAGCTGGGGAGCAGCTAAGCCTCCACTGCCCTCACCTCTTCCTCCCTTATCCCAGTGCTGGAGTGATCCAGCAGCCCTTGGGGCTACCTGTCAGAGTTCAGCCATAGGGAAAGTGTGGTGTGAGTGGCTGGAAGCCATCTCTTCCTCTAGTTGAAACCTGCTATAGGTGTTGGGTTCAGGTGGGTCCAGGAAGGGGCTGGGCAGACTCCAGGAGTAAGGGTTTGCAGTAGATACCCAGGCCACTGGACTTCAGGATGTGGGTGGTGGTTGCCACCTCCTGGCTGCTCCTGGAACTACAGGCTGTGCTGAGCAGGGCTGCAAGCAGGGTGGAAAGTGGGGGCCTGGTCAGAGGTCTGGGTAGGGAAGTAGCCCAGTAATAAGGCTTGACCTGGCCCTGGGCCCATTTCAGTTCCTGGACCACCTTCTGACAGGCATCGAGGACATCTGTGGCCACTACGGCCACCACCACTGGAAGGACAAGTAGGTGACAGACTTTGGTGGGTGGGGGAGGGGCGGGAAGGGGCAAGCAAGGGTCTCCCGGGGCCTGGGCATCTCCCCATGCCCAAGAGCTGGCTTCATCCATCTCCCTCCTCCTCCCATCAGGCTCAACCGATTTAATAAGAAGTATGTGAAGAAGTGTCTGATCGCTGGTGAGCGCTCCAAGGAACCCCAGCTCATTGCCTTCTACCACAAGATGGAGATGAAACAGGCCATCGAGCTGGTGGAAAGTGGGGGCATGGGCAAGATCCCCTCTGCTGTCTCCACCGTCTCCATGCAGTGAGTGCCAATGGCTCATCTGGGCATTGTCTATACCCACACACTGACCCATCTTGCCCAGCCTGGGGCAACCAACTGGTGGGAGTGGTGCTCTGTTGCCTGTCAGGGAGGGTGTGAGATCTTCAGGGCCTCACCAAGAGCCTGAGACTTTGGCCACCCACCCAGGCCATCCCCAGCATGATCTGCTTCTGGCCCAGCCCAGTAGAATCTAGGGTCACAAGAATGGGGTCCTCATGTATGCTCTGTTGTCCCAGGAACATCCACCCCAAGTCCCTGCCTACTGAGCGCATCCTGCCAGCATTGTCCAAGGACAAGGAGGAGGAGATTCGCAAAATCCTGAGGAACAACCTGCAGAAGACCAGGCAGCGGGTGAAGGCCTACCCCAGCCGGGAAGCCCAGCCCTGTGGTCTCCTCTGCAGCCTTCCCCTGCATGTGCCTTGGCACCCTCTCCAGAGTTTCTGCCCAGCCTCCTGCACTGTCCTGCATGTAGCCAAAGCCTCCCTAACCCTGGACATCCAGGGGGGCCTGCCCTAACGTCAGTTCCTCCTACAGCTGCGGTCCTACAACAGACACACATTGGTAGCTGACCCCTATGAAGAGGCCTGGAACCAGATGCTGCTCCGGAGACAGAAGGCCCGGCAGCTGGAGCAGAAGGTATGCACCCGACTGAAACTGGCCCCACTGCCTCCCTCAGAGAATCTGGGTTCTTCCTGTACCCACAATTCTAGTGCTTCACCAGATCCCTCCAAAGAAATATTCCTATTCTAGAAACTAAGCGAGGGGGTTTGTTGCTGGTGTCAGGGTTTGAGCTTTATCCCAGGGGAGTGATATGTGGAGGGCATAAGGGTGGCCTGAGTTGGGGCCATGGCAGGAGAGAGAGAGAGAGGAGTGGGTAGGTTTAAAGGACACTAAGGAAGCCAGTGCAGTGGTGCACACCTGTAATCCCAGCAACTCCGGAGGCTGAGGTAGGAGGATCATAAGTTCAAGACCAGCCTCAGCAACTTAGCAAGACTGCCTCAAAATAAAAGGGCTGGGGGTGTAGCTCAGTGGTAAAGTGCCCCTAGGTTCAATCTCCAGTCCCCTGCTTTGGGGGGGAAAAAAAAAGGATACTGAGGAAGTACAACTAATAAGACTTGGTCACCAGTTGGAGGTGGAGCCAAAGTTCAGTTGTGACATGTCAAATTTAAGATGCCTGGGAGCCAGCCAGGGCCCAGGTGTTCCCTTTCAAGTTGGCTTTTTGGTCTGGAACCTCAGGGGCAGGAGTATTTAAGGCTTCCCAGGGGAATCACCTAGGGGAATAAGCTCCCAAGAGCCCCCAGAGTGCCAGTGTGGGTCCTAGTGCAAGCACAGGAAGGAGTCTCATGAGGAACCACCAGCCTCAGGTGCCATCCGGCTCCCTCCTGCCCAGCTGCCCAGCTTACCCTGACTGCTCTCTCTGTCAGATCAACAACTATCTGACGGTGCCGGCCCACAAGCTGGACTCGCCTACCATGTCACGGGCCCGCATCGGCTCAGGTAAGGGCCTAGAGAGAGGCCTTCAGCTGGTCGCTTTGCACTATCACCTCCTGATGCTGAGGTTCCAGCAGGAACAGGCATCTGGGAGCCAGTTGGGAGGAGAGGCTTCCTCCTTGCTGACCTTGCCTCTTTCCAAGCCATCAGCTATATCTACGTCAGGCGGGGCTGGGGGTGGGCGGAGCAGGCAGGATGGCCCTACTTTTATTCGCAAACACAAAGATGCTCCAGAGGCCGCTCACAGTGAGGACTGTGACAAGAGATGGAGCAGATCCAGGCCTTGAGCCCACGTGGCGGAAGAGGGCAGAACTCTATAGGCCTAGGCCTCTGGGATGGGCCATGACTTGGGAGGGAGGCTTAATTCTTGACCTGTGGAGAGACTATGGGAGACCCTGATCTAAAAGAACAGTCTGAGGGAAGAGAAGCTGGGGATGGAACTGTCAATCAGCCTGTATAGAGTTCTGAGGCAACAGGATGGCTGCACTCATGGGGGCTCTGGGGGTTACTAATTCAGGCTGGGGGAGCCCTTCTTGCAATGCAGCACATGCTGGGCAGGGCAGAGGGGCAGAACCAGAGTGCCAATGTGGGTCCCAGTGCAAGCACAGGAAAGCACCTCATGAGGAACCACCAGCCTCGGGTGCCATCCGGCTCCCTCCTGCCCAACTGCCCAGCTTATCCTGACTGTTCTCTGTCAGATCAGCAACTCTCTGACGGTGCCTTGTATCTTGCTCTTGGTTCCCAGACCCACTGGCCTACGAGCCAAAGGCCGACTTGCCTGTCATCACCATTGACCCTGCCTCCCCACAGTCTCCTGAGTCTGTGGACCTGGTGAATGAAGAGCTGAAGGGCAAGATCTTGGGGCTGAACCGGGATCCAGCAAGGTTGACTGAGGAGGATGAGGATGAGGACGGGGTCATTATGATGCGGACCAAAGAGCCTTCATCCCCAGGCACTGATGATGTCTTCACCCCTGGGCCAAGTGACAGCCCCAACTCCCAGAGGATACAGCGCTGCCTTAGTGACCCAGGCCCCCACCCTGAGCCTGGGGAGGGGGAGCCCTTCATCCCCAAGGGGCAGTAGCACCAGGGCCAGGGGCAGCGCCCATCCCACAGACTGTCCCACCAGAGCAGGGCTGGGGGAGCTGAGGGCTCCCCTCACCCTTCCTGACCTGGATTGGCCTTGCCCCTTCCCCCGCCGCATGGCAGCTGGGCCCACAGCCCCCACAGCAGCACGGCTTCCCCCTGCCTCCTGGGAAGCGTCCCCCTCCCATTGGAACTGTCTTCCCAATCATTTGGCAGAACTGCTGGGTGGTGAGGCAGGCCCCGCCCCTTCTCCAGATCCAGGCTCCCCCATACCCAGACCAGGACCATAAGGCCACTAGTCTCCCAGGCCACAAGGCTCCTCTCTCCACTACATCACCTCCTTCAGACAAATCTTCATTTCTAACCAAAGAGCCTCTGGCTCCACTGTGGTTCTACCCAGGAAAGGAAGGAGCTGAGGCCTCCCTTGCCCTTGGCCAGGCCCTCCTTTATCAGGAGATGCCAGGGGAACAGACATGTGGCTGGGGGAGGGATCAACAGTCCCACCCTACTCCTGCCAGCTATGTCACCCTGGCCCACCACCTGAACTGTCCTCACTCAGAACTGCAGGCTGGGGGAAGGTCTGAGCTTCTCTGACTGGAGCTGAGGCTCTTTGGAGTCATCTGATGGGGACCATTAGGCTTTCTGGGGCTGCTGCCTAGGGAGGAACTGTCTAGGATTTCAGAAAGTGCTGCCATTTTTTGTTGTTTGTTCACACTTCCACACACCATTCTATTTGCACAGAGGTACTCCTTTTTTTAGAGCATCTGAAAACCCCTGGACAGTCAGGGATCTGCCCCTCTCACCCCTCCTCCTGCTCCAGAGAGTTCCCCCTCATATTCCCATGTCTCTCCTACGCTCCAAAACCTGTCTCCTGCCTGCTGGGCTCTTGACTCTCAACCAAGGTTCTGATTTTAGACGTGGCCCCAACCATGACCCTATCATGATTCTCCAGCCTCACAGGCGTGGGGCCTCCTGGTGCCTGTCTTGCTCTTGGCCTGTCCCCAGGAACCTCTCCTATGTCCACTCAGCTTGCTGTGGAGTCCAGCCTGGGGAGAAGGTCTCCCCTGAAGTTCTCCCACCTGGTTGGGGCTGCTGGGATAGACAGAGTCCTAGGCCCCCAGAGGCCTTTGCTCATAGGCACATACTCCCTACCCCCCACTGCCACCATGGCTGGGCCCAGGTCTATGGGTGTCTGCACTCCCACTGGGCACTCCCTCCCCCAGGATCGTGCAATAGTCAGAGCACCCTCTCCCAGGGGACAGGGCCACGGGTGCTCGGCCCATCTGTCCATCTCCTCTCCATGCAAATGCTGTCTGGAGCAGGAGTCACCATGCAAAATGACGTCGACAACCATGTACAAAGCCACCACAGCTGCTGCAGCTCTGCCGCCTGTATAGAAGAAACTGAACCTTTTTCATATTCTAATAAATCAATGTGAGTTTTTGATAAGAGTCCAGGGCTGCTTCCTGGGGGTGAGGGATTTCAGGAGAGAGGAGGACCTAAGGTACTTGGCTCAAAGGCTGGCACAGAAGTGCTTAGCCACCATCAGCTGCTGGTGTGGTCATTTCTATGCCCCAGGCCCCAGAGATACAGCAGCATGAGCAGGATGTGCTTGCCCTTGGGCGGCCTCGGCCTAGCATGGAGGAGCAGCGCTCATCAACATTGACACAGCCGTGGAAAATCCCAGTGCGTGTGGCATGAATAAAAGGCTGGGGAGGGGTGGATGAAGAGGACTCTCCCGATTATGTGACATCCTAGAAGATTGATGCAGGCACCAATGTAACCAGGTGGAGAAGGTCTTGGGGAGGTTCCAATTATTCTAATTGAGAGCTGCATATGCAATAGCTGAGGTCTGGGAAATGCTCATGCGGCTGGGTCAGAGTAACAGCAAAGGAATGATAGGCCCTGTAGTCCATGGTTATGGCCTAGTCCTTAAACTAGGAAAGTCACTGAAGCCCTGTGTTCTTACCTGTGACCCCTGGATGACGTGCTCAGGTGCACATAAATAGCTCAGCCAAGGTTGGATTCCTGAGGTGCATTTATAAGAACTGACCACCAGAGGGCAGTGGGGCCTTGGCCCACACCCCAGATCCCCTTAAGACAGACCTGAGCTGTCCAGAAAAGATCCTGACCCAGCCTGGAGCAGGAGCTAGTGTAACTTACAAAGTCCAAAGTACGCAGTGCCAAAAGAACTGTAGGGAGGGACCACACTGCATTTTTGTACTGATGTCCTAGCAGGAAATGGATGGCACACTCAAAGGGTGTGGGCAGGATTATGGGTCCCAGGGATGGGACCCAGTGGGGTTCTCTACAGGAAACTGTAGAGATGAAAGGGCAAGAGGAGGAACTGAAATTCTGGAAGGAGTGGGAGGTGTGCCCAGCTAGAACTGTGGCTGCAGGGAGCAGAACACAGCCCCTGCCAGAGGGGACCCAGGGAGCACCTGTTCTGACTTCTTTGCTCCTCATGGTGCCCCCATTGGCCAAATCCAACGGAAAACAGGAGAGGAGGGCAACCTGAGTGAGTGAATTTAGATGGGAAACAGGACATCCAAGCAGAGTCATCCCTGTGTCCCTCAACCCTTGTCCTTTGGGTGAAAAACTCCAGTTCCTGTTGCTTTATAGTTACAGAATTTCTGTTTAACATAAAAAAAAAAGTTTTAATTGATGTACAACATTGTGAATGTACTAAATGCAACTTAACTATTCACTTTAAAGCTGTTGATTTTATATAAATTTCACTTCAATTTTTCTTTAATGGAAGGAAGAAAAAAGACCCTCACCACCAAGAGGGGAAACAAAAATTTTCACCACCATCATATCTTGTCATCTTTCAGTCATACTCACTTGGAGACTAAACATATTAGTTGTCATCATGGCTCTTTAGAACAACAGAGGCACAAATAACAACAGAGAATTGTAATGGCTCCCATTTTGGTAGTTGGTCTTGGGGCCTAAGACAATAGTTCCGATATCCTGCTACCGGCTTCCTTGTCCCTCTTACCAGCACTGTGGCTGGCTGGAATTTTTATCTAGTGGGGTATCCAAAACCTCTTTTGGTGGGGCAAAGGCCTCACATATGCTTGGCAAAATCCCAGCCCTGTCCTAAAGCTTTGTTCCTACATAGCCGAACTTCTTACAGCTCTGATATCAATTGGGCTGCCAAGTTTCCCACTGACATCATTATTAGAGGCTTCTGGTGAATCTCCTGAATCCAGGCATAGTCTTCCTGTCCCCTCTCCCCACCGGATTATGTAGCAGGAACTTGTCTTCCTTCCGGTAATCCAAACTAATCACCCTATTTGGTGCAGTTGACTTGCCTCTTGGCCTTTTGGTTAAGCAACTGGCCAAGCTCACTCCCAACTTGAACCATACTTGTGTTCCCTGGAAGCACCCCACATTCAGGCATTAAGGACTCCAGACCCTCTGAACCACAAAGTCGAGGGGATAAAAAGCAAAAACCCCTCCATTAAATGAGTTGGAATGATAGAAGGGACACTCCTATATCCACCCCTGGGTCCCTGGGCCTATCATCTGATCTGTGGGAGGGGAAGCCATACCCTGGCTGCTGACTTAAAGGATGTGCTGCCTCCATGATCAACCCAGCCTCACAACCTGCTACCCCCCAGCTGGTGCCCTAACCCTGCTGTGCACCACTGCGCCCGGCAACAGGGCACATAGTTCAGGGTTCATCGTAAGACCAGTGCAGTCCGTGGCTGAGACCGTTGCTGGACGTCCTTCACCATAAAATGAAGGTAGGCGGGCAGTGTGTGGGATGGCAGAGTGATGAATGAGACGTGCTATGGAATCCAGAAGGGAGGGTGCTGGCAGAAGCACCGAGGCTGGAAGGCAAGTCCAGATTGGGAACACACATTTATTACCACAAAGTAATGCATAACGACTCCTTCATGAAGGAGGGGAAGGCGTTAGTTATCTGCCTCCTCATAGGTGGCTGGCTGTTCCCTCTAGGCCAGTGATTCTCAGTTGTTTTGATCTTAGGAGCCCTTCACACTCAGAAATTATTGAGGCTCCTAAGGTGTTTTGTGGGGACTCTATGTATCATTTATGCTGGATTAGAACTTAAAGTCAAGTTTAAAATAATAATTTATTTAAGTGAATAAACAGGTTAATATAATAAATATAACATTTTTCATGAAAAATAAGTTTCAAAACAAGAATGATAAGTTGAGGGACATTATTTGACAGAGTCTGGCTTAATGGCAAATAACAAAATTCTTAATTCTTTAGCATTTCATCTGTATATGCTCTGTAGCCTCTGGAAGATTCATATATACATATATATATTCATATATATATATATATACACATACACATATATGTTTATGTATATGTAAAGATTCATATAATTGAATAAAGATTCATATAATTGGCACTGGAATTTGAACTTAGGGACACTTTTTTTTATATTTATTTTTCAGTTTTCAGTGGACACAACATCTTTATTTATTTATTTTTTTTATGTGGTGCTGAGGATCGAACCCAGCGCCCCGCACATGCCAGGCAAGCACGTTACCACTTGAGCCACATCCCCAGCCCAAGGGACATGTTTTTCACTAAACTATATCCCCAGTCCTTTAGAAGTTGCTGAGAGTTTCTAAATTGCTGAGGTTGGCCTCCAACTTGTGATCCTCCTGCCTCAGCTTCCAGAGTCCCTGGGATTACACATGTGTGCCATTGCACACTTTTACTATACAATTTTTCTTTCTTTCTGTTTTTTTTTTTTTGTATCAGGGATTGAATTCAGGAGCACTCACCTACTGAGCCACATCCCAGCCCCCCATTTTTTGGCATTTTATTTAGAGACGAGGTCTCACTGAGTTGCTTAGTGCCTCGCTGTTGCTGAAGCTGGCTTTGAACTCACAATCCTCCTGCCTCAGCCTCCTGAGCTACTGTGATTACATGCATGCACCACTGTGCCTGGCCTACTATATACTCTTGAAAGTCTGGCCTTTTGCTGTTGGCGACTGGGACACAGCATTGCCCGCTTGCCAGGTCAGATTTGATGAGGGAAATGCGTTGAGTCTCTGTGTATTATCACTGCTGTCAAATGAGCACAACCTTGGAAGTCAGATATCTGAACTGGTCTTATTGGTCTAAAATCAAGGTGCCAGCAAGTCTGCATTCCTTTCTGGAGGCTCTAGTGGAGATCTGTTTTCCTGCTTCCAGAGGGGCCCCGCCATCTTTAAAGTCAACTGTGGCTGGTCAAGTGTTCACCTCACATTTCTCTCACACTGGCTCATCTGCTTCCTTCTTCCTAATTTTAAAACCTTTCGATTACATTGGGTTCACTCAGATAATTCAGGCTTATCTCCCTATCTTTTAAATCAGCTGATTAGCAACCTTAATTCCATCTGCCACCTGAGTTCACACTTTGTCATATAGCATGTAATATATTGGCAGGTTCCAAGGATTAGAGTATGGACATTTGGTAGGAAAGCTCTTATTCTACCTACCATGCCATGCATAGCCTCTGTCCCTGCCACCATGGCTTCTGTGAATGTGGGCTCATTGAGGAAGAACCAGGGTAGCCAGGGAAAGAAGTTGACCTCTTTCTGCAGGATAGATCGTCTTGTCCATCCAATTACAGAGAGCCTCCCTCATATAAGATGCCCTCTCAGAGCATCCAGTAGGTTAAAAATAGTTCCACCACTTACGCCTGTATCAAGCAGTCCATCCATGACCTCCCCCAGCACCTCCTCCTCATCAATCTCAGCCCTGTGGCTTTCAAGCCCCCAACCAGCCAGCTAAGTTGTTAGCCACTGCTCATAAATCAGTGCAGATCTGTACTTTGGATCGTCTCTCCTTCTACATGAAGTAGGTCATCCACATGGTCAGCGATCTGCCACCAGGAAGCTCTCCCCTCAATCCCATCCTTCAGGGACACCCCGAGTATGCCTGTGAAGCAGAGGCTGTCTGCTAGCTTGCCATGCAGACTCATTTGGAAATCTTGTCTATGCTTTTCCTTTGTGCTAACAGGACATAGCAACTTCACCAAGTGTGGACTGAGGGAAGATCAGCAAAGCAATAAGAGGAAGCACCAGGGGGATTTGAATCACCTGCTCTTGCAATTTCCTTGTGCCTTCCGGACCTGCTCAGACCCGATCTCATCTACACTATGTAATAACAGAGTGCCACCATGTGTGTCCAACGTTATGATGAGGTGGGGCAGAGTATCTCCAGTTCTGGCCACACGGGTCACTTGGTGTCCCACAGTCAGGCATTCTGTCTCTACCACATCCAGTGTGAGCTAGGAGCTGTTTTTAAAATGGAGAATAGTTGTTGGCAGGAGAGGGCACAATTTAATCCAAACCCCTAAGGTTTTGTGCCGTGGGTCTTGGATTGGAGCTTGTCCATATGGCATCGTTTTCTGCCATGGTCACTTCCCAGTGATAACACTCACATGACAGGGCAGCATGCACTGAAGCCTGCACCT